GACACTGTTGACACTTGAGTCGGACAAGCAGGAAGAGTTGTTTTAAGGCTCGCTGTCATTGCGTCTGAGGCCGCGAATGATTGATAACGTGAGCAAGCTATTAACCCGTCCAGACCAAGTAGTGGCGGGGGCGCCACATTATCGCGGCTGTTCCGTGATTGACAACCATAGACATGTATCCATATGAAAACAGATTTTTCATTTAGTGGCGCCTATGCAAATTTCCATCTTCGATACATAAACAAGTGGATAAACTGGCCTCATGCTTGTCGTCACGTGTGCGTAAACATGTGTAGCGTCTGCGATTCTGCCGCGATAGTTCGGCTATGACGTGGCGGAATCCTTCCTTCTAATCGGGTTGGAAGGCCGGTGATGCAACGGTCGGGTTGCGGAATAGTTTATTGGCGGTTGGAGAAAAATGAGAAATTAGGTAAATTTGCAAACATGACTAAGCCTTCTGATGCCACTGAGATAATGTGCTTCCTTCCTTGGGCGATCGTTTAAATCTTGGACGGGTGTGAAGTATGCAGTAGACATTTAGGTCGTGTGCTTGCATAAGAAGGTGTCATTTAGATGTGAGTTTTTTCTTAGATGGGTGTGTTATAGCAAGTTTTGTTTGTTATTCAAAGTGACCATTTTTGGCAAATGCAACTATAAAATATACGTTTTTTGATCATACTGTCTCTTGACCCAACGATTGCTACGAAATTTTAAGTGCATCCTTTGACTACTCATAGTTTAAAAAATGGTGGCGCCAGATAAAATTATCAATTAAATCTCGTTCGAAATGTGCAGCAACACGTGCTACTCTGCGGATGCTCTAATAACTCGTGTGTACTTTAATTTTACTTGCACGAGATGTGATAATCATAGAACCTTGATTAAAATTTACTTATTCATCTTTTCCGGAAAGTTGACTACGTTTTCGCAAGAACTGTTGGACGAAATATGTGAAAAAATACTTCCTTATACGCGGTTTATTAGCTTCCGCTTGTAATAATCTTTGGTTTTTTAAAATTGCTGAAACAGGATATTTCAAAATAATAAACATAAACAAATTTATTTTGTCAACAATGACAGAACGAGCTCATATCACTTTCTTGTGAGTTTGGGAACACAATAACATTATGATAAGTGTTACATTCTACATGTCATACATGCATCGCTACCACAAGATTTATGATATCTCAAAAAGATTTTAACAAATCTTTGTTGAAAATGTAAACAAAATTAATGAATAACTGAATTATTTTACAAAGTATCTCTAAACTGAGTCATCTAATTTCTATGAAATTGTTTAGGCACGGTCACATTATGACTAATGTTATATATGAAAAATGGTACATGTATCACCAACAAAAACTCGATGACGTCATATTAGAGGTTATAAATACATCATTTGTAAACTTACTGGAATCTTTTTGTTTTCTTGTCTTTATTATATTAATTATTATTGTATTATTGTTTTTATTATCTTGCTTTAAAAAATTGCTTTCACGGTGTTCATTTCCTGAAAGCTAATTAAGGGAAGTATTTCATTAATTTGTTATTAGGATCATTGTGGGGAATGTCTGTCTAACTATGTTTTCCTGGTGTTTTAGAATTCACAGAATACAAAAATTTCTGTCTGTTTGTCGTTTGGTTAAAAAATAAAAAAGTCATTCTAAAACTGTGTGGAGTAAATTACATGCTTTTTTACGTAATGTATAATAAATCAGTTCTAATTGTATCACTGTTACCGAAGGTTGCTTTATTTTTCCGAATTTCTTTCATATATTTAAAAATCACCTCATTTTAATGAATGCATTTTAATGATTTGCATGTTACACAAAAATACTTGTAGTGTACGAATCTGCTTTCAGTTTTTTGGCTAAACGTTCAAATTTTCGCAAAAACATTTGCAAGGTATAATAACGTTTTATTCCCAACACGTTTTGCACGTTTCCGTGGCGCAGTGTGTGTATCGGAGAGACGGCGATTGTGAGTTTGATGCCGAACTTGGCCGTTTTCTTTTTCTTTTCTTGCATTGGTAATAACGTTGTGATTAGTTTTCTTTGGTGTTGTGACTAGAATTATCCATGTTGATGAAATTAAGAACGAGGCACCCTATTTTCTCGAAAATGTGAAGAATACGCGCGTCTTTATATGATAATGATAAAATAAGAATTTTACTATTCGAGACATTTTGCTCGATTGTGGTTTAATTTTTGAGAAGACAAACTCATTCAAATGAAACTAATTTCTACGTGACATTCTTTTGATGTATAAACATAACTAAACACTTGAGCTTCAGATTGCTATTATCTAGTGCCGACGGGCAAGGGGTGCCTCTGGTTTTTACTTTGCAGAGGTTATCACAAAACGAAGGTCGTAAAATCAAATTTTATAATTTTTTTAAGGAGCTTGATTTGTCAGATTATACTTACAGCCTTCGACCAATTCTTTATTGATCAAATTAAGAACCTCATTTTTTAGCTTTACTTATACAGGGTTACTAAAAAGAAATGAATGAATCAATTTATTTTATTGAATAAATCAAGAATTGTAAAACTGAATACTTTGAAATCTTGCAGACTTTTTAAAGTTATTGTAAGCATGGTAAATTGTTAATCAAAATCTATATATCATATTTTTTAGATTTGCTTAAAAAGGTGGCTCAAACAAATTAATGAATGAGTTAGTTTATTTTATTGATTAAATCAGGAAAATTTTGGGAATACATTACAGTTATTTTTATTATTACACTGCACCAATCCAAGTTTGATATACGCATCCTTGCAAAAATGTGTAAAGAAAAAACTCAACAGGAACGAAGGAAGAAACAACTTTCGACCATTTTTTTTTGAATGATCATGGCGACTGTCTAAAAAATTAATCTGCAAATAGATTTAGTTTATCAATTGCGTCAGGAACAATTTATCTACTTCCCACGAAATGTATCGACTAATAAGTAATGTTATAATTAGTGTCACATTGTAGATATTATTAAATTAATAAGTTGAGATTACTTCGAAAAGTTAGTGAAAAATACGTTCTGAGATTAAGTGTTACTTATCTATTAATTATTAAAAAAAATATAACCACATGTCATTGTGGTTATAAAAAATTGTAAATATATTTTGGTCACGATACTCCAAATATTTAAAACATAGCCAGTGATTTAACTCTTTCCGTCTTCAAGTCTAGAATTCCTAATTGTTTCCTTACATTAGAGCTTCACATTTAATGACTGCAAGTTCGTTTTGAGGACTGAGAAGAATCAGTTTAATCGACGCACCTGATGTCCGAAACTCCCAGATTGTTGCATTTAGCCCACTATTAACCACTTGTTTATCATGGTATCAATATAAAAATAAACTTTCCTCGTAGATATGTTGACATTATCGGTCTGAGACGTCTAAAATATGACAGAATCGCTGATTTAAAAAAAAATGTGATAGACATCAACATAATTTTCCATGTATTATATAAACATTGTGACAAATATGACAGCAAATCTATCATAAACAATTTCTTAACAAACAAAAATTCACAGGAAACCATACTGAGTCATGTCTAACATAGCCCTGCAGCTTATGGTGTAATTCTTAATACTTGCTTGCAATAGTAATAATAATAACTTTACATTTATTTGGTCATACTCAACTTATAAAAAAATTATATTGTTTTTCATACGCACCCATGAAATTAAATTAATTCAGCCAAATTACGAATACAATATTTTTTCTAGTGATGACTCTCAAAGTGCACTTTATGAGTGAAATATTTTGCACAGCAACACATTAATATCGTGAACGGTTAAAGGTTTTCGTTAATCACGTTGCTAGCAAATGTGATGACACCTGATCATTTTTTTTACAACGTTAAAAATTGTCACACAGTTTCATCTAACGTACAACGTTTTAAGATCCAGTTTCACCGCCTAATTACACATTTCCAAACAAAAATAAAAAAAACCGCAACCGCATTTAGAAATCTATTTTTACGAACGCATTTACATGTAACTCAGAGCGAGTGACAAAATATAAATGTAAATATAATGTGGATTTTTAATAACTTATTTTTTTTGTTTCCGGAAAAAAATGCGCGGCACACGTGAATCAAGATTTTTTCTGCTTGAAAACATGATTGTTAATTTCTACGAAGGCATATGGCGATGAACCTATTTTGTCTGACGCTCTTGCTCAGCTAGTCTCGTTTTTTGATCAATAGCGATAACTTGGAGTGTTAATTTTAAGCGAACTCTAACGTTCTAAATTGATTTGTTAATTGGTAGTTGCCTCTGAAACTTTAAATAATTTTTTGCACATTTAGCCAAGACAAGACGACCGCTGTAGGTTGGAATCTCTTCTGTACTTGTAACAAGTGTTGTGCAATTACTCGCCACTCATCTTCGGCCGGTCTAATAATGAAATCCGGCGCTAAATGTCGGGACGCCAGTCACACACTTTTTTATAGTCTGTGTAACAAAATAATGTTGGCGTCTTCATATATGGCAATAAATACCATATTGTCCCACTTCATATCCAAAGTATGACTAGTACGGTTTCGGCGGTTGCTTAGTGATGGTGGTGGCACGTGCTATGGCCTGAAAGCGCCTGCTGAAAGCGCCAGGGCTATGGAAGAAATTTTGAGCGGAAAAAAAATCGGGTAAACATTTTTTATTTACTAAACATGTTTACGTGGATAAGTAAACATAAATCGGGAAAGTAATCGATCGAAGCAATAATATTTTAATTTATTTTTAGTTAGTAACTCATTGTTTTTTGATGACGTCTATTCATCTTAAAATGCATTCTTGACATTCCTGATTTTTATGTATCGTAAAATAATAATTGTATTGTGCTTGCACCTGACTATTATTACATCACAATTATTGCGTTCGTGTCGTGAATAGTATATACTTGTTTTTATGTTGCATTTTAAACATATTTGTTTTGACTTTAGTTATAGGGAACGATGTTGCCGGGTTTTGTATTAACTGGATTTTTTCTTTGCAGGAAACACCATAAACCGCATCAGCTGCTAGTAGTAGTTATCTTTTCTTACATAATGGTAAGTGTAAATGACAAGACTTTCAACATTGTAGTTTACAGAAACTCGATAATTTATGCTTATAGATATGCCAAGTGATTTTGGCACGATGTGATGAATGAAATTATATAACCTTCATTATATTGCTTTTTTATGTTTGCTGTTGCTTTAACTGAGCTTCATTCATATAAATTAGTATTTAAATTTAACGTTACAACTTTTTAACTTACTTACGGTCGATCTTTGAGTGTTGCTGATTGCATAGGATCTGAAAAAAATATAACTGCATTAGTAGGTACACGTAATGCAAATTTTACACATGATAGAAATTTTTTATCAATATACGTTTTTTTATTGTTAAAAATTCTGTAATTGATTTATTTTACAAATAATTTGAAAATAATGTATTACTTATTTTTTTCGTAACTTTTGTGTCTGAAACAATTTAAAATAAAAAAATGGTAATCCAGTAATCCAAATTTTTGTTCTGTTGAAGTTCTGCGTCATGTCTTTTCAATCGACAGAAAATATAATGAATACAAGGAAGAGCAACAGTTGTATTGAGACGTCACATTTCTAAACAATTGACAATAAAATAAAATTTATACTCTGAAATTAATTGACAATTCTCTTGTTTGACGCAATTATGTACCTTGTGACGGTAAGATGATGTTATTGGATTTATTTACAGTAAAGAACTTGATGAAGGAACAGTCAATTAATTTTTGTTTTGGAATCTTCACGTTGAATGTTAGACCATTGTGTAATTATTTCATAAATGGTTATATACTACAATCATGTACTATAGTCTATATAATAAAAAAAATCAGTGTAACAATGTCCATGATTCTTTATTTTCTTGTTGCAGGTTTTGAGTCAAGCAGATAATGAATGTCCTAATTATAACGTAGAGAAGGTCACACTTTTTTCGGATTATTCCAAAGGGTGTCTTCGTGTAGAAGGAAATAGAATCGTGGCAAGCAAGTCCGAACGTTTAGAGTTGGAAGAAAGTACGTTTGCAAGTATTTTCCTGGTTCCTTACTAAAATTATATTTTTAGATTATTTATACAAAGTGACGATAGAGGAGTATTCCATGCTGTTGTATCACATACAGAGCGGCAAATTCATCTGCTGGAACAAATCGTATAAAAAGCTTGTCCCAAGGGTAAGTTATTTGAAACGCTATAATGTTTTGTGACGTTGTTAATTTTAGAGAAATCCGACTAACTTAACGTACTGCAAATTCAATAATACTGTGTCGATAATAGAAGCCTACAAAAAACATAAAGCAAGGGTTATTACTAGGGACAACAAGGGCAGGGAGGTGGAAATACGATTCAACAGATCAGGTGCCTTCGCTAGACCAAAGCTTATGGAAAAGTGTATAAGGCATTTGCGTCTGCATGAAAAGGTGCACTGCGAAGTGAAAGAGTTCTTGAAGTGGGTGTTGGATCCAGCGCAAATTCAGAACGGCACCAAACAAATGGAGGCCTATATACAATTAATAACGAGGTGTGCAGGTCCGCACTTGGTGATGAAACCTGTGGCCTGTGAAAGCACAGGCCAATCCGACTTCTGTATACGAATGAAAGAAATTCATACAAGCCATCACAAGCTATCGCCGGAAATCCAAGATTTGTGTAAAATAAAAGATGTGGATAAAAATTAATGACTGCGTCCGTGTAAACAGTGAAGTGTCAGTATTTTATAGTATCTATGAAGTATGTGAGATTGTACAAAGCTTCCGTCTAAATAATTTCTTTCAGTTCCACTTCCTAGCGAGGAACCACCAACGGACGTTCGCTTTGTATAATATAAGTGTATTGTATGGTATGTACAAATTCATTGTACACCCATATTCATATATACTATGTAAAAACCCGGTATTAGCGATATTGTACATTGTATTTATTTTTTTATTTTTATTTTTGCTTCGTGTGTTAATTTAACGTGTTTTTGTATAGTTTGTGTAAATTATTGATCGAGTCCTTGGACTATGAATGTGAGTGTACAGTCTTATTTTAACCCCTATGGGGTTTTATTTAACTCATAATATATAACTTTTGTACATTAATTATTTATTTTTTTGAATAATTGTATGGGCACCAGTTCCAGTATTTTACTAATATTTTTTTATCTCATTTAACCGGTGCCTGAATAGTGCTATCCATGTTTTAATGGTCCGTTGGGCAATCCAATTGCAAAAATACCAAATAATGAATGAGGCTTTGATAATATATATTATAATATAGAACATTTTTATATATTGTGTGTTATTCGTTGTTATTTGCAGTTATGTCAGCCTCAAAATGTAAGATCTGTGCCATGTCTCTACAATGTCCTTAAAGTTACATTCCAAATCATTATACATAATTATTACGCATTTACAAAAAATACATAATTTAAAGTAAAGGTCGAGTTTTTTTCTCCTCTCAAAAACCACAAAAATTAACATAATGGTAAGACAGAACTAACGAAGGTAACAATAAAAATGATTTATGTAAACTCGTTTCCCAAAAATGAGCATTTTTCCTGTTCCTAAAACCAGTGTTCGTCTTGGTGCACTATAAATGAAGACCACATTTTCAAACAGCTATAGTCGCAGATCTTCTTTCCAGAACTAAAGCAACGGTGTCAAAAACATCAGTTATCTGCAAAGATCTAAGTTAAGGTAAGTTATCAACGTTTACTGTGATGTAAGCAAACGGAATAAGTGGGTTTCAATTCATCACTGACGATGAAAGTTCAAGACAGAATAATAGGTGTTTACAGCTGTTTTGAATTACATGAAATCAGAGTTTTTTACGAGATTCTTAAAGATAAAAGACTGATAAGGACTGGAATGTTTTAGTGGATTTATAAAGTAAATTTTGTTTAGCAAATAATAATAAAGATTAGTTATAAATGAAGATCTTTTATATACTTCCAGCGTCTGACCTAAATTAGTTAATAACATTGGTATACAACGAAAATTTAAGCAAAAAAATGGCTGGATCGGGCAAGGTTTGACTCTACATATCTGTTTTCAGCCCCACTTGATACGTTTAAGTTGACATAAGTACTTTGTTATGAGATATTTTGTTTTATTCTGTTCATGGTTACTAGACTGAGCAGGGAAGAAAAGTACAATATTTTGTCTTAACATTATTAACCTCTGCAAAGCAAAATGTAATTTTTCTGGCTGGTAGTGCTTTATCGTGTAGAAAATTCGAATTTTTTAATTTTTTGCGAATTCAGTATAAGTAGAAAAAATCTACGATAAGATGGGTGAAAGATTTTCAGCAAAATTCTCAAAATAAAACGATGCATTGTTGTGGAACCACAGATTTCAGAGATGAAGGTGAGGTGTTGGTGAGAATTCTCACTTACTCATTAGATTAAGTAACTCTAAATCATTTGATTCCATTCACAAAAGCATCAAATTAGACAAAATTGTCAACATTTTAAAATTATCCAAAGAAATTTCAAATGTTCACAAACCCGAGGTGGCGAAAATCATGCAAGCTTCTGTTTGGGATTCATCACAAATTTTTGTTCCTTGAGAAACGTTCCTGAAGTTGACGATAATTTGGGCGAAGCGTTGTACAAGATAACAATCGTTATTGTTCTACATCAGAAATAATAGACCATCAATTACACTACATTAAAACTTGGTTGTCTATGTTAATACCATCTGTACTATAAAAAATTGGTCGAAAGTTATTTCGACAGAAATTCCCTTGCTTCTCAGGTACAGTCCAACAAATACTGTTTCTCTGATAAGTGATTTTACTTTTTCGTGATAACCTCTATGGAGTAAAAACTAAATATAAGGTAATAGAAAAAAAGAAGGTTTCGCCTTTTTAAAAAAAGATAGTTGGGAGCCCCGAGAAGATTTAATATTTTTAAAAAAAGACAGTTGGGGCTCCCCGAGAAGGTTTCGTCTTGTTTGAAAAAGGACAGTTGGGATCACCGAGAAGGTTTCACATTCTTAAAAAAAAAAATTGGGGCCCCCGAGAAGGTTTTACATTCTTAAAAATAGACAGTTGCAACCTCTGAGAAGGTTTCACATTCTCAAAAAAGACATTTGGCGCCCCCAAGAAGGTTTCCCATTTCTAAAAAAGACAGTTGGGACTCTCGAGAAGGTTTCACATTCTTAAAAAAATACATTTGGGGTCCCAGAGAAGGTTTTACATTTAAAAAAAGGACAGTTGGAGCTTCCGAGAAGGTTTCACATTAGAAAAAAACATTTGGCGCCCATGAGAAGGTTTTAAATAAAAAAAAAGACATTTGGGACTCCCTAGGATGTTTCACATTAAAAAAAGACATTTGAGGTCCCTGAGAAGGTTTCACATAAAAAAAATTGCCTCCCCCAAATGGTTTTACATTTTTAAAAAGGACAATGGTGCCCTCGAGAAGGTTTCACATTCTTAAAAAAATACATTTGGGGCCCCAGAGAAGGTTTTACATTTTTAAAAATGACAGTTGGAACCCCCGGGAAGGTTTCACATAAGAAAAAAACATTTGGCGTCCCTGAGAAGGTTTTAAATTAAAAAAAAAAAGACAGTTGGGACTCCCGAGAAGGTTTTACATAAAAAAAGGCATTTGAGCCCCCGAGAAGGTTTCTGTTTCATTCATTAATTTTTTTGAGCCACCTGTTTAAGCAAATCCAAACGAGAAGCCGACTTCACGAACGTGTTGTGTACAATATTTTTTGCAACGAATAAACTTTAAAACCGAAAAGATTAACTGTGAGTTTTTTATAAATAGGGCTAGGCGGTTGAAATTATTGGGACCCCCGAGAAGCTTTTACAAAAAAAAGACAATTGACGCCCGAGAAGGCTTTCCAGTTTTAAATAAAGGGGGCGTATTCTCACCTTTTCCAGAAACTGGAGTAATTTCATCAGTAAAAAATTCGTTATGGCGTCATAAACATAGATAATACACAGTGCGAGAAAAGAAAAGAAAAAAAAAACGAAAATCCAAGGTTGGAATCCTGACTCGTAACCAGTAGACCACCACCAGGATGCCCTGGTGAACTGTTATTATACCGTGGATTATGTTTTTGCAAAAATATGGACTGTTAGGGAAAAACTCCATTCGTACACCACACTTACAGGATTATATTGTTGTATGATAGTTAAATCAAATAAACATAGAATCCTTTGAAATTACGTCATCAAATTGTTGGTGGCGAAGGTTAGTAAAGTTTTGGTTAGCAATTAACCATCTATATGATGTTTCTAATATACATACAAAATTTAACAACAATCGATCCGACAGTTTCGGGATTACGTGTCTAGTAGAAATGGATATAAACATCAGACAGGCACACAGACGGAAACGTGATACTACTTTTTTCGTACTCTAGGGGTCATGAAACGTCGAGAAAGTATAAAAGTGGCCATTCGTCCAATGGACTCCATTACTATACTTCCTCAGGTTAAGCTCGGGAAGCAAAAATCCGAAATCTTAAACGCTGTGGAAAGTAGATCAAAAATGTATATAAGGAGTCTTTTCGAAACTCTGGTGAAATTTTTCATCATGTATCTTTAAAATTTAATTTCTCAGTTATTTAAGGAAATTTCGGGTCGCAATTTCACCACTGTTGAGATACAGCTTCTTCGACACAACCTGTTTTTACTGAAATAAAAAATCAGACAATGTTTTTGTACGATTTATAAAGTTATCTAAACTGGAAACGGTGGTGAAAACCGCGTTCCGAAATTTCCATAAATATTTGAGACATAGATTTTTAAAGATATGTGAATAGAAGTTTCACCAAAATTGAAAAAAAAAATAGGTAGTCTTAAAAAAACCTAGCATTGCGTTATATAGAGAAAGTCGTGGACGAGTTAGATCTAAAATTTCATAACAATAATAAGTCTGTTAATAATGGAGATACTATATTCTGATAATGTATTGACAGCGCCACAAGAGGGAAAATTAGAGTTAAAGAATTTTTTTCAGAATATCATTTTGTAAAACTGATACGTCGGTAAGTGATTTTATTAAAAACTTGAATGCCATCTAGTGAGAACTTTAATACAATTTTATATATTTCAATTATTCAACTTTTTCGTAGTTTACATACTGAAGAGTCATAGAAACCCTCTCGATTGAATTTTTTTTTGTGTAGCTGTAATTCAAAAATAACACCAGAAGGTATTCGCTTCAAGCTTCAATATTTTTCACCATATTTTTTAAAATATGGACAGATGCATGATATATACAAAAGCTGCAGAAGACGTTAAAATTACTGCTAGAAATTTGTTATGCAGTAGGTAAACTGAAAATTTTGAACTCTGAAGGTGTGTCTCAATCGTCTCGTTTTCTGAAAAGGACACGATTTGGGTTAGTAATGATTTCTGGTGTAAGTTGAGAGAATGGAGGAAATGTTGGTTCTATACCGTGTGACTATTAATGAGTGAAGCAAATGCTAATACATATGTCAGTTTATAGTAACTTTGAAATTTTATTTTTACTTATATGTTAAGGTTATAGAGGGGATGGTAAACGAGCATCATTTTTACTAAACATTAGCTAAAACTTTGATTCTTTCTCCTGTAACGCCGAAAACACAAAACAACAAAAATCACAGTTTTGGTCATTTTGTATTTTCGATGCTATAGGGAAAATAAAGTTATAGTGTTATCGTGCACTGAGAGATCTAAGAACACTGGCAAATTACTATAATGAAAAGTTAAAAACGTGTGAATTTGTTGTGCTTTAGAGGCAGGGGAGCTGCAAAGAACTCTCTTTTTTAGCAGATTAGCGGTTAATTAATGATCAGCTTGTCAAAAGTAACCCTCTTTTGTGACTTTTTAACACCTGTCACGAAACAAATGAAACTTGGTACAAGGACCTAAACTGTCCAAGTAGAAATCGTTAGCTAGGCAATTGTTGGCGATTTGTTGACTACTTGTCACAACGCATCCATATTACTAGAGACTGTGTATTCAACAAAGATGAAAGAAATGACAGAGGCAGCTTAGCTTTATTCATTCTTGTTAACGAGCCTGGCAAGGACTTTAGTTTTAAACTTCCTTCCAGCAAATTTTACGATTAGTGATTATTATTAAACCAAATAAAATTAGATTGTAATGTTTAACCTTTTGCTTTTTAAATTAATCATTGAAATCGTGAAGTGTACATACAAAATAATGACTGCAGTGAAACATAAATTTTTAGTTATGTAACCTTGATTTTTATTATGTAACAATACATTTCGACTGAACTGCTACTAATACTACTAAGGCTTGTCTTACTTTTTCGTCGTTTTACTGATATCAACTGTCAGTAGCGACAATTTGAAAACGGTAGCACCGAGAAAAGATAAAAGATTGCTGTTGAAAGGTATGTGGGGCAGGCAAATTAATTACGTTGCAGGCAGGAAAATAGCTATAATGAAAACAGTATTTTCTGGAATCAAA